CTGTGCCCCCCCGTCCGCCGGCGAGGGGTGGCTCCCCCGGCGGCGGAACGCGACTCACAGCGTCTGCATGTTGGCCTTTGGTCAGGTCGAAGGCCCACTCGAGGGTGGCGGGCTCCAGCCCGGAGACGCGTTTGCACTCGATGGCGACGTTCAAACTGCGGGAGATGCCGGGAGGGGAAACGGCGTCGGCACCGGGGATACGTCGGCGGCACCGGGAACAGCCTCGGAGACACCGCGCCGCGCGCAACACTCACCCATTCCGGTCGTATTTCTTGAAAACCGGGAAAGCTTCGAGGGGATCTTCGAGCTGGAAGAAAGCAAACAGCACCCCGAAAGACGAGCGGGGAAGGTTTGCTCCCACCCCGCCAGGCCCTGCTCTGCGGCGCGGGAGGGTTTTTCACCAATTCCGTGGGTTTTTACCCCGTTTTTCACCCCACCGGCGAGGGGGACACTCACTTTGTTGGCGGCTTCCACCTTGGCGCAGACGGCGTCCATGGCCGCTCGCTCCTCCAGGCGCTTTTGCTTCTTCTCCTTGGCTTTGCTCGATTTCCTCTGCGGCGAGAAGCATCAAAAAAAAAAAGATAATTTTCACTAAATCTGGGTTATTTTAACTGATAACGAAGCTCCGCCCACCAACAGCAGGAAAGTTTTGCCCAGAAACTAATAATTAAAGCCCACAGAGAAAAAAAAATAAACAACTGGCACGTGAGGAGCGGGGTTTGCCACAAAGTCCTTGCAAGAAAATGATTTTTTGGGTAAAAACCAGCATTTCGAGGAGCACACGGGGGCGTGCTGAACCCTCCCGGTCCCCATGGAAGCTTTGCCGTGTCCTGGTCCCCGGGGTCGTTACCGCTGGGGTAATTAAATTTGTGGGGTTTTGCCCCTAAATCTTCGGTGGTTTAACGAAGCTGGCGCTCGTTAGACAGGCCGGGACGGGGAGGTGGCACCGAGCAGCATCCGCCTAAAGTTATCACTTCTAAGTGCTTCTTTTTCTTGAATTTTAGGAGTCCGCCGCTGGAAATAACCCAAACGTGGGTGATTTTACCCCGAAATGAGGGAGGGGAGCCCCACAATCTTGCTGGGATCCCTCCAAATCCCCGGCGAACCCCAAAGACCCGCAGGGTGTCAAAGCGGATCTGGGGATTCCTGAGCTTCGCCTCCATCGAAACTAATTTAAAACCACCCCAAAATCAGTGTTTTATAGGAAAAACGCTGATGCACGTGGTTTGGGGAGCAGGACAGGGCAAGCCTCCCCCCCTAAATACACCTGTCGGCATTTTGGTGGGAAATTAAGGGGGTTTTGAGGGTTGGCGCAATGCTTTTTCCCTACCACCTGCTGCTGGCTGGGATGCGGACTCTAAAAGCTCTGGTTTTGGCTCATTTTAGGGAGAAAACCTGCAGGTTTTCCGGCGGTTGGGGTCCGTGGTTAGAGGGGAGGTGGGGTGAGGTCTTTGGGGCCTCCCAGTGTCCCTGCAACCCCCCCACAGGGACTCCCAAAACCCTTGGGGCCTCTGAATGTACCCTACTGCACCCCAAACACCTGCCCTCCCGCCCCC